GGGTGGCTTCCCCCCAGGGCAGCAGCAGGTGCTAGGGCAGCAAGCGCTGCGGGAGAGGCACTCAGGCCGGTCAGGCGTGCTTGGTCACGGCCGTATCCCGGCCCTGCCGCACGACGCTGCCGAGGTGAGGAGCTCGGGGGAAGAAAACTTGCCGGTTGGCCATACGCTGGCGAGTGGGCTTTTTGGCTGAAGTAAGAAGGCTTTTGTGGATTTGGTGGAGAGCAGGAGCTGGAGGGGTTAGCACACCTGAGGCCATAATGCTGTCCAGTTACGGACTGGAGCCTTTGCTGGGCCGGGAGGGGTGGCTGGTTGCGACCCTCCAGGCCCGGGAGGGTTGGAGAGGGGCCAGCACAACCCACACTCCCAGGGGAATCTGATCTTCTATGCCCTCTCCAATTTTATAGGGTGAGCCTGTGTTACAGGCTGCTTTACTTAAAATACGCGTTAGTGTCAGGGCAGGGGGGGATCGTGGAGATCATCAAAGGCTGTCACCTGAACGTTTAGCAAAGTACAGGCGGAGGATTGTTCAGCTTGAGTTTAGTTTCGTGTTGCCAGCTTTGTTACCTGAAGAACATAAGGCAGCTAATTTGGAGATGGCTTCCATGTCTCTGTATGAGCTCTGTTCACTGGGTGATGTTTTTATCAAGATTTCTCTCAAATAACATTTGCACAGAGTTAGGAAGTTAGAACATACAAAAAAGTATTGATTTGTGAGCTGGATAGACCTGAAAAATGATAAGGAAGAAAATATTAAGTATGGTTTGTAGGCACACAGGGTTTTTTAAGTAGAGTTTTGGTAGGTTTTTGTTTGATCTAGGTACCTGCATGCCAAAAGATGCTTTGGACACACAGATACGTGCCTTAGCAAGTTCCTGGGGTGAAGCGCATGCACCTCAGCACCTCATGGTCACTCTCTTCCCTCCTCTCTGTCCCTGTATTTCAGTACCTGTCTGAATATCTTTAGAAACAATTTTATCCTGTTGTTTCCAAGCTCTTAATTTTCATCTTTTTACATGTACCTTAGAAGAAGGAGAAAAAAGGCCAAGGCCTCCTATTTGTTCAAAATTGAATGCAACAATTCAAACGACAGGAAGTGTTCTCCCTGAGTTGCTAATGAAACTTGAAAGTAATCAAGTCAGAAACCAGAAGACTTTTACAGCAGGGCATAAATACTTAATTTGGAAAGATAAACATGCTGAAGATGACTACACTGTAAAGGTTACAATTCATTTTAGTGTCAACTGCAGTATCTAATATGGTGAAACAGAGTATTTTCAAAGCTTAGTTTGATATCCTTCAAATATTAAAAATGTTTTCATCCTGCTTCCATATCTAACATAGTCTTCAAAATTTGAGGAAGCTTGCAGCTTTTAATTTGTTTTACTGCAGCTTTTTTATTTAAATGACTGTAATAGGTTATCTGTCAATTTGGGCCTTAGCATACAGGATATTAATTTCAAATTTAATTTTAATCAAATTTGTAGGAACAGAATATGTTGTTATTTAACTT